CTGCTCACAGCAACCTCCAACTCCTGGGCTCAAGCGAGTCTCCTGCCTCAGCCTCCCAAGTAGCTGGGACCACAGGCACCCGCCACAATGCCCGGCTATTTTTTGGTTGCAGCCATTATTGTTGTTTGGCAGGTCAGGGCTGGATTCGAACCTGCCACCTTAGGTGTATGTGGCTGGCACCTTAGCCGCTTGAGCCACAGGCACCGAGCCGAGGATAAACTCTTGAGAACTGCGATTTGAACTAGTTATTTTTTAAGTCTCAACACATTCTTTTTAGATGACTCTTATTACACATTCTATGCTAATCTGATCATGTTCAGTTCAAGAGGGTGGTCCTTCCCTGATCTAGTTCTTAAATTCTCAGAATGCCTAAACATACATGTATACTTACTACTATTCCAAACATTACATCTTTAAAATATTTAATTCATCTTGATAAGCATCTTTTCAAATATAATACACATTTTTTGGCCCCACAGAACATGCTGAAAACTACTAAATTTTCTTTCAATGAGTTTTCTTGATTGGCAATAATAAATGCATACTGTTACCAATTTCACTGAAGGCTTCAAAAGACACCCACTTTGCTCAGTGTGGTTTAGTTACTTCTCTATTCCTGCTAACAGTTTTCTAAACCTTTGACAATTTCCTTAAGCCCTCTACTACATTCTTAGCTCAGCTTTATTCTATACTTGTTAAGGAAAAGACAACTCCCGTCCCTTCAGTTCAAATTACATTTACACTTCCATTAATCCTTCCCTCTTTTCTGCCTGTTTCCCAGGAAGAAATGTTCTTATCTTTTCAAGATTAATCCTTCTATCTGTGCTCTCTTTAAAATATTTTTCATTGCAAAATAACAACCATATAGAATGGTGGATGAAACATACACGTATAGCTTCCTAAGTATAATGTGAATACAGTGTACCCACCACCCAAGTCAAGACACTGACAGCAAAACAAAAGCTTCTGTGTATCACTTCCAGCCTATCACTTCCTCTTTCCCCACCTAGAAGAACTGCTACTCCAACTTTTATGGTCATCAGTTCTTTGACTTTCATTATAGTTTTACCTCCCACATATACATCCTTAAACAATAGAGTTTTGCCTCTGAGAACTTTATATTCATTAATACTGTAAGTATTCTTCTGTGGCTTGCATCTATGACTCAACGTCATGTTTATAAGATCTATCTATATTGCTGTAATAGCTCTAGTTGGTTTGTTTCATTTTGAAGTAATTAGAGATCCCATGGAAATTATAAAGATAGGACAGAGGTACCATGTACCTTTCATCCAGTCTCTCCCAAAGGTTGCAGCTTACATAACTAAACTATTACAGCATCAAAATTAAGAAACTGACAAAGTTCATCACACATGTAAATTCCTTTAATCACCTCCATTATTAAGATACAGAACTATCTGTCACCACAAAGATTCCCCTTAATAAAGTCATGACTTTACATTCACACACATGTCCTTCCCTGCTCACCATCCCTAACCTCTAACAAACACTAATTTCTTCTCCATCTCTATAATTATGTCATTTCAAGAATGCTATATATATGAAATCAAATAAGATAGGACTCTTTGGCTCGGCGCCTATAGCTCAACCGGCTAAGGCGCCAGCCATGTACACCTAAGGTGGCGGGTTTGAATCCCCAGCCCGGACCCGCCAAAAATAACAATGAGGGCTGCAACCAAAAAATAGCCGGGTGTTGTAACCGGCGCCTGTGGTCCCAGCTACTTGGGAGGCGGAGGCAGGAGGCTCGCTTGAGCCCAGGAGTTGGAGGTTGCTGTGAGCTGTAATGCCACAGCACTCTACCCAGGGGGACAGCTTGAGGCTCTGTCTCAAAAAAAAAAAAAAAAAAGATAGGACTCTTTGAGACTGCCTTTTTAACTCAGTTTAATGTCCTTGTTATACCTTGTTAATCCAGGTCACTATGTTTGCTCTTATTATGGTCACCCTGAAAAGGCAGGAGGGACTTCCCACCCGAAGTTTGGTTTGGAAGTTGAGACTGATGACTCCACAAACACATGAGGCTATAGGGAGTTCCCTTACTTATATCCTTGGGGTCTGCAGGGATAGCAGAGCAGCCCTCTTAAGCAGGTTAGAAATGGCCTGAGAGAGCAAGGAAAGGAGACTGGCCTGGGTGTTTCCCTTGGTTAGGAGGTGGGGCTGAGGTCCCTTTGTATGGGCAGGGGCTTGTATGGTCTGAATCACCAACGGATAACAAAGAAGGGAGCAAGAGAACACAGAGGCTTTCTTATCATTTCATCCAGATGTGGGGCATAAGGGGAAGAAGTAGAGGTGGAGATTAAAAGCTGTCAATAGTCAAGAAATGGAGTCAGACACCCCATTAGTCTCTTTTTACTGAGTAGTATTCCAAGCCATATCAGTTTAACCATTCATCTATCAAAAGACTTCATCTATTTCCAGGTTTAGACTATTACCAATAAAACTGCTATTAACTTCGTGTATTAAAATTTGTGCTTTTAACATTTATACGTTTCTATAGATATAGGTTTACATTTATCTGGGATAAATGCACAGGAGTACAATTGCTGGGTCACATGATGAGTGTATGTTTGTTAAAGAAACTGCCAAAATATGGGTGGCACCTATAGCTCAGTGGGTAGGGCGCCAGCCCCAAATACGGAGGTGGCAGGTTCAAACCCCGCCCCAGTCAAACTGCAACAACAACAAGAAAAATAGCCAGGTGTTGTGGCGGGTGCCTGTAGTCCCAACTACTTGGGAGGCTGAGGCAAGAGAATTGCTTAAGCTCAGGAGTTGGAGGTTGCTATGAGCTATGATGCCACGACATTCTATGGAGGGCGACAAAGTGAGACTCTGTCTCTATTTAAAAAAAAAAAAAAACTGCCAAAATATTTCATGGTATATATTTTCCCCAAACTTTTAATTTTTTTTTTTTTTTTTAGAGAGAGGGTCTCATTCTGTCACCTAGACTAGAATGCAGTGCAGTGACACAATCATAATTCATTACAGCCTCAAACTTCTCAGTTCAAGCCACCCTCCTGCCTTAGCCTCCCAAGTAGCTAGGACTACAACACCCAACTAATTATTTTCATTTCCTATAGAGGCAGGGTCTCCCATGTTGCCAGGATGGTCAAGTGATCCTCCTGCCTTGGCCTTCCAAGTGCTGGGAATAAAGACATAAGCTCCCATGCCACACCCATCCTTTTACTTTTGATCCATCTATGTGTATATTACTGTATACATCTGAAGTGAATTTCCTATAAAAAGCTCACAATTGGGTCATGGTTTTTTACCTACTCTATCAATATCTCTTTTATAATTGGTATATTTGACCTTCTATATTTAATGCAATTATTATTGATATATTATGGTTAGTTTGCCATTTCCTTCCTACTTGTTCTGCTTTTCTTCAACAAGGACATCTCACATATGTCCCTGCAGTTTGCATAAGAGAAAGATGTGACCAGATAATCCCAAAGAGGAAGGATGAGAAAGCCTGAGTTTATTTCTCTAGCCATCACCTATACATATATCTTCCTGTTATTTATGCAGTATAATAAACCTTAGCCAGGCATATAACTTTACATTGAGTTATCAAACTAGTGGGTGTTTGTCAGACTACTAAGAAACTAGGTAAACACTATATATATATTTTTTTTCTTAGCCCTATTCCTATTTTCATTTCCTCTGGGATCTTACCCCATCAAAAATGTCCCCAGTGTCTTGAATCTTTGATTTTCTTGTTCAATGGCTCATTTTCATCTGCCTATAGATATACTTTTACCCCATTATCCATTATAAAAAAAAAAAAAACAACTCTCTACCTTGCTCCTCAAAAATCCCAAACTCTGGCTTGGCGCCTGTGGCTCAAGCGGCTAAGAAGCTTGCCACATATACCTGAGGTGGTGGGTTCAAATCCAGCCTGGGCCCTCCAAACAACAATGATGGCTGCAACCAAAAAAACAGCCAGGCGTTGTGGTGGGTGCCTGCAATCCCAGCTACTTGAGAGGTAGAGGCAGGAGACTTGCTTGAGCCCAGGAGTTGGAGGTTGCTGTGAGCTGTAATAATGCCATGGCACTCTACCCAGGGTGACAGCTTGAGGCTCTGTCTCCAAAAAAAAAAAAAATCCCACACTCTGTTTTTCCTTTTAAGTTAGCACCACATTTTTCTCCCTAACTTCAGTATCAAAATTTTAAAGATTCTGGCACATTGCTCTGCTTTCTAATCAAACTCTTCTCTACCCACTACTGTCGTCTCAGTCCTCATGCATTTCTTTCTAGCTACAGATTTGAAACTCTTTCCTTTGCTTGCTTTTGATTAAACTGGAACAACAAAGCATAAAGAAAAGCATTTTCACACCCTCTTTGTTCTTTTCTTTCTTTTCTGTCTCTTTCACCTGCTCTTCTTTCTGTTTCTAGCCCTTAACCGCTGGTGTTCCACTAGGTGCCTCACCCCATTGCAGGTGAATCTTACTCTTCCTCATACTCTGCTGCAGCTGCTCTACCACTACTGCCCTTCCTGTCCACCCTCACCACTGTGACCTGCACATCCACAGCACCATCCTGAGCTCTCTCACCAATACCTCAGCTCCAGGCTCAGCTTACTTGTTTCCTACCTCTATTATCTCTGTGGGGAGCCCCAAAGACACCTCAGGTTTAATACATCTAAAATTGAAACAATTTCCTGTCTTTTAATGTTTTCTTTCCCTCAGCCTCGTCTAACTTACTTGACAGTCATTCACCAAGTCTTACTAAACTATTATATTTGAGTTTTCTTTCTTTCTTTTTTTTGGGGGGGGAGTGGTGGTAGAATTTCTCTCTGCCCAGGCTAGAACGCTGTGGCTTCATTGTAATTCACAGCAACCTCAAACTTCTGCTCAAGCAATCCTCCTACCTCAGCTCTTAAGTAGCTGGGACTACCATGTCTGGCTAATTTTTCTGTTTTTAGAACAGATAAGGGCTCACTTTGCTTAGGCTGGTCTCAAACTCCTGTCCTCAAGCAATCCTCCCATCTCAGCCTCCCAGAGTGTTAAGATTACAGGTATAAGCCACCTTGTCTGGAATGTTTTCAAGTTTTTTGTGGCTTGAAACCTTTTCCATTGATGGTGATTCACTTTTTTTTTTTTGGCAATGAGTCATTATGAAATGAGCTACTGCGGATTTATTTAATACTTAGACTCTCTTTACCTGACATTTTCCTATCTTTAAGACAGGATGAGATATTCCAAAAACAGGAATTTTCAAAATTTGGTAATTTTTCAAAATAAATTATAGATAAGTTCTTGCTTTATTGCCTGGGTTAGTGCAGTGCTGTCATCACGACTCATGAAACCTTAAACTCCTGGGCTCAAACAATCCTCCTGCCTTAGTCTCCCAAGTAGCTGAGACTACAGGTAAGCATCATGACACTCAGCTAATTTTTCTGTTTTTGGTAAAGATGGGAATCTTGCTATGTTGACCAGGCTAGTCTTAAAGTCCTGGCCTCAAGAGATTCTCCTGCCTCTTCTCCCCAAGTGCTAAGATTACAGGTGTGAGCCACTGTGCCTAGCCAGAGCCTAATTTTTTAAAAAATCTTTTAATCCATAGGCCAGGGTCCCAAACTGCTCCCCTCCTCTCTGCCTTTCCAACTCCTTACACACATATAGAAATACATACACACACACATACACACACACACAAGAGAGCCAGTCCTTTATTAAATCTGACTGCTTTTTAATTCTTTCTTTCTAATTCCTTCTTCTGTACTATCTACTAGTAACACCTTAGTATTCCTTAAAATTTGGTTTGCAACTCTTCTTCTCACTTTATTTCTTCACCTGGCATTCTCACTGTTTGATAGTCATGTATTCCATAATGACGTTTTGCTCAATTATATACTGAATATAACGGTGGTGGTGGTTCCCTAGATTGTTATTATTTTTTTTTTTGAGACAGATCCTCAAGCTGTCCCCCTGGGTAGAGTGCCATGGCATCACAGCTCACAGCAACCTCCAACTCCTGAGCTCAAGTGAGTCTCCTGCCTTCGCCTCCCAAGTAGCTGGGACCACAGGCACCGGCCACAATGCCTGGCTATTTTTTGGTTGCAGCTGTCATTGTTGTTTGGCAGGCCCGGCCTGGATTTGAACCCGCCACCTTAGGTGTATGTGGCTGGCGCCTTAGCCACTTGAGCCATAGGTGCCAAGCCAGTTCCATAAGATTATTATATAATACAATGTTTTTACTGGACCTTACCTACGAGGTCTGAACCCATCCTGGAAAAAGTGCTCCCTCATTTCTGAATATCACTATGTTCACCAGATGGCCAAAAGAAGTACCTTTAAGGTGACCATAGTGACATTCAGCAATGAGGAATGCAGCACTTTTCCTAGGATGAGGTCATAAACTTAATTGTCAGACTTCAAAGAATGACAGCTCCGATGGCCATTCTAGAGAGTTCCAAAATTGCTTCAAAGGAATTGTGGGCGAGGACCTAGAGTAGGTGGATAGTTTCCCAAGGGGACTACTTTGAAGGAGACTATAGTGATATTTATCAATGAGGTAGGTAGCATTTTTTCCAGGATGAGTTTGTGAACCTAATTGTCCAACTTCATAAGTTTTATTTTTTTCAAGCTCATTATGTTTTAGATATACTTAATACCCAAAAATTTACCACTGTGTTATAATTAATTGCTTACAGTATTCACTACAGTAATGTGCTGTACAAGTGTGTAGCCTGGGAGCAATGGGCTACATCATTAGCCTAGGTATGCAGTAGGCTGGACCAGCTCACTTTGTGTCTGTGCATTCTGTGATGATCAGTGCCGAAATCATTTAATGATGCATTTCTCAGAAGGTGTCCCTGTTGAGTGACGCATGACTGTACTTAAATGTAGATGATGACTCCCACTCCATGTCTCTGTCAGAAGACATCTCTCTTGAGCTTCAGAACTAAATTCCCAATTACTAGATGAACAATTCTAACCTGATAGTACCTAAAAATTTATACCCTTTAGAAATCTAAAACCTCTCTAAATCCTTATTTCATATATACATGTAAAACTCTGAAATTCTGCCTTTATCTGAGTTCAGTTCATTCATAAAAAGGATGACATTTCTGATAATACCATGTGAATCCTCTCACTAATGGCCATTTATTCTCTAGGACATTTCCCCTAATATTCAGCCAACGCAGCAATGTAACACTGATCCTTAGTTTCCCCTTTAGTCTCATGCAGACTCACCTTGTAGCAGTCATTAGCAATGAGTTGTAAGAGACTAAAGGACTCGCCAGAGGTCTCCATCTTGAGATAAAGTTCCCAGGCTAGTCTTGGTTTCTTATTCATAATATCTACACAAGGAAACAAAGATTTTTATGCTTTTTAAATGCACAACTATGCATCTTATCCTATGGATTTTGTTCTGTATTCTAAATAAACAAAATAATGGCAGGATATCTCTCACATGGAAAGCTTGCAATGTTGGCATTAAGCTGTCTTTTCCTATGAGAATTATACCATACTTAAAATATTTAAGTTGGCTTGGCGCCTGTAGCTCAAGTAGCTAAGGTGCCAGCCACATACACCCAAGGTAGTGGGTTCCAGCCCTGGCCCACCAAATAACAATGATGGCTGCAATCAAAAAATGGCCAGGCATTGTGGTGGGCACCTGTGGTCCCAGCTGCTTGGGAGGCTGAAGCAGGAGACTCGCTTGAGCCCAGGAGTTGGAGGTTGCTGTGAGTTGTGATGACATAGCACTCTATACCCAGGGGGACAGCTTGAGGCTCTGTCTCAAAAAAAATAAAATAAAATAAAACCAGCTATAACTGAGATGGTCAAAAAAAATATTTAAGTTAGGAGTCACATAATTATGTCCTTTTTTTTCAGACAGAATATCACTTTGTTACCCCCAGTAGAGTGCTATGGTGTCACAGCTCATAGCAACCTCAAACCCTTGGGCTTCAGCGATTCTCTTGCCTCAGCCTCCCAAGTAGCTGGGACTACAGGTGCCTGACACAATGCTTAGCTATTTTTAGAAATGGGGTCTCTCTTGCTCAGGCTTGTCTTGAACCTGTGAGCTAAGGCAATCTACCTGCCTTGGCCTCCAACCTGGCCGATAATTATGTCTTTTAAATTGGATTGACTTCCACTAGTTCTCATTTTGCTCATCTGCCTAAATGAGCATACCTATCATTCATGACCTACTTAAAGTTTCAGCCTCATTTAGAATATCTGATTGCTAAAATTTTCCTGTGACTTCAAAAGCTCAGTGAACATTTAAAATCTGAGTGGAAAAAAAAGCAGCAAGAAAAGATAGTGCATCAGAAAGACAGAAAATAGAGGTTCCAAATGTACAAAAAAATTACATTGTTAACATTTTGCCATTTTTCAGTCTTGGACCACTGTGAAAAGATAAAATTAATGTAATAATATATTTCACAACAACACTATAAACTGAGACTCTGGAAACTTTAACAAGGCTAAAGGAAGACTTGACATCTTCAGGACTGTAAGAGCTTAAATGAATGTTGAATGGTAGAACTAATTACAGGACAAACCTGTACAACACATTTACATTTACATGGCAACCCTTACTGAGGAGCTTAACCACCTTTAACTTCAGTGTTCACTCATTCTACACAGTAAAACACAAATGAAAGTTAAAAACACTCAATGTTATTTACAAACAGATTATGTAAAAGAAAAGAAAAAGAGGATTCCTCTTGTAATATTTAAAAGACTCACAGCACCGAGCTAACCAGCTGAGGTAAACATAATCATTTTTTATCTTCTCACTTTGGATCAAGAGGAACACCTGCAAGAAGAGGAAAGAAAGGGACTCAACACAAGAATGGTTTTGCAATAAAAATATCCACTATTGGTTTGTCTTAGATTGATAATCACTGTAGCCTTATAGGCAATCAAAGTCTACACAGGGACAGGCATGGTGGCTCACGCCTATAATCCCAGCATGTTAAGAGGCCAAAATGGTAGGGTTGCTTAAGGTCAGGAGTTTGAGACTAGCCAAAGCAACACAGTGAGATCCTATCTCTACAAAAACTAGAAAAATTAGCTGGGTGTTTAGGTGTACACTTGTAATCCCAGCTACATGAGAGGCTGAGCCAGGAGGATCACTTGAGCCAAAGACTTTGAGGTTGTAGTGAGCTATGATGATGCCACTGTACTCAATGCTGGGCAACAGAGCAAGACCTTGTCTCCAAACAAATTTATTTCATTTAATTTAAAAATTCCATATAGGCTTCTAAAAATAAAGAAAAAAATTGTGGTACTTTTAACATATTTTACTCAGAAATTGACGTTACAAGCTGACAAAAAGTTGGTAAGGATATAGAAGATCTGAATAGAATAATTAACTATATGATACATATTCTTTTCAAGCTTTCATGGCAATGTTATGGGGAAGTAAGGCAAGTCTCAACAAATGTTAAAGGACTAGTGTCATACAGTTATGAGTATGACTGGTGTCATACAATTAATTGTCACACAATACAATTAAAAAATCAAAATAAATAAATTGATATTCATTGAGCTGTCTACCTATAATTTGTATACTTTTCTTTTTTTTTCTCAAGACAAAGTTTCATTGTGTTGCCCTCAGTAGAGTGCCCATAGCATCACAGCTCACAACCTCAAACTCTTGGGCTTAAATGATCCTCTTGCCTCACTCTCCCAAGTAGCTGGGACTATAGGTACCCACCACAACCCCCAGTATTTTTTTGTTGTTGTTGTTGCAGTTGTCATTGTTGTTTAGCTGGCCTGGGCTGGATTTGAACTCACCAGCCTCGGTACATGTGGCCGGCACTGTAACCACTGTGCTATGGTGCCAAGCCCAATTTGTATACTTTTCTGCACTTATGGTATATTTCTATAAAATTCATCAAAAAAGGGAAAACATTAATATGGTTGTAAAATTTATGTCTATTCACATTGTATTTTTTTTTCTGTTTTTTAGAGACTGAGTCTCATTATATTGCTCAGGTTGGAGTATAGTGGCATGATCATAACTCAATGCAGCCTTAAACTCCTGGGCTCATGTGATCATTCTGCCTCAACCTCTGAGTAACTAGGACTTCAGGAATGTGACATTATGCTCAGTTGCGTGCCATACTTTTTAATGTAACTGAAAAACAAAAGACTCTTTAATAATCCTTTATCCTTGACCATTTCATTTAGGTGAGAAAAAGATAGGATGTTTTTATATAGAATCATTCAAATGCCTTCAGAAGCATGTACCCACCTCTTCGCCCTCGCTGGTATTTCCTGTTGCAGCTTTGGCTTGGGCATAATTAAAATTAAAGATGTCATCATTATAGAAGTAACTCTGAAACACATCCCAAGAACAGGTCATATTGAGCATTAACAGACAAAATATAAAACCACCAGTTATATCAGATAAACAAAAATAATCTTAATGATTAGCTAACATCACCAATGCCACCAGAGAAAAAGGGTCATCTCTAAGGGTATCCAATCTATCCTAACATGCCATATATATATATAATTTTGTATATAAGTTATATAGATAATTCTATACTGACCTTAAATGAGTTGAGGTAAATTAAGACATCATCAAATTGCTTAAGCAGGAAGAAACAGGAAGCCATGCACTGTCTCCCTGGTATTGTATCTGAAATGGAGGGGAAAAAGAAACCACATGTATTTGTGAAGCTAAAAGTTCTCTTTAGCCGAAAATTGAATTATTTTATAATTTAGAATTAGAAATGTATTCTAAGACATCTTTCTGGATTCTTAAATTATAGATTCTGTTCCATGGACGAAACTGTAGCATAATGAAGGTCATGGTATTTGAGAGTGACTAATGATCTCTCTGGGGATTAACTTCCAGAATTGAAAATGAACATATGACATGCAGACACACTGGCTACAGTATTCCCCAGATTGTTTTCCAGGGCTTTGATTCTCTCATCCAACTCTAATGTCTGCACGTTCAGTTAATGTGGGTTGGTCTCCATCATCACTTGGCTAAGACAACCTAGGTCTTCCGATCACAAATGGAAAGGTAATTTTCCATGGAACCATCTGATTCTGATCCTGATTCAACTTTTTGTCTGATATTTATTTGAGGTGGTAGAAGATTCATACAACCACCCTTGCCACTGGCATTCCTAAGACTCCTTAACTATTCAATGTTTTTCTCATAGTAGTTACCATAGTCTGATATACTATATAATCTGTTTATGTACTGTTTCCAGTCTGCCTGTTCAATTAGACTGTAATCTCCACAAGGGTAAGGAATTTTAGCCTTGCTATATACTTACCTCAATAAATATTTGTTCTATAAATGAATAAATAAAATGGAGAAAGTAGATATTTAATAAATGGTATTGGTAGAAAACTTGTAAATTTTCAGGAATAAAAAGAATATTTAACAATCAGTTCAGCATGAAAACTTAGTCAGAATAGAAGCTGGCCATAGACAACTAGTATACGCAGCCATATTGGTTCATACTAGCTATCAGCCCTTTTATAGCCCTTTCTCAAATCTCTCACAGAATCTTGATTGACGAAATCAATACTTTCATAATAAAAATGAAGCCACAAGACTACTAGTGGAAAATATAGGTGAAAGTGGTGGTAAGAAAGCATTTTCTAAGCTTGGTACTCATGTCAGAAATAATTATGAGAAGATAAGCTAATTATAATTTTAATATTTTTATATAAAAAATACTATAGGCAGTTTCAAGACAAACGACCCACCAGAGAAATATCTGCAATGTGACAAAAAGTTAGTACAAAAAGAATTCTTGAAAAAATCAAGGGGAGGGGAGGAGGGTGATTGGTGGGATCACGCCTATGGTTCATCCTATAAGGGTACATGTGAATCTCTCTAAATGTAGAATATAAATGTCTTAACACAATAACTAAGAAAAAGACACGAAGGCAATGTTAACCAGTTGGATGAAAGTATTTCAAATTGTATACAGAAACAGTACACTGTAACCCATGATAGTATTAATGTACACTGCTATGATTTAATAAAAAAAAAAAGAAAAATCAGTATTTTGAAATAGCCCATCTAAAATGGATTCAATTTTTTAAAACTACACATAAAGAGTAAATTTATTCTTTTTTTTATTTATTCTCTCATTCCACTTTAGCTGAGTTATTTAGAAGAGTTAATTCCAATATTCGCTCCTCTTCCTGATCTCCTACTGCATAATTCAAAGCCATATATTCCTAGACAGCAAATCAAACTTCACAGTCCATATAGCCCAACACCAGTTATGAATCGTGCTTATAAGTACAGATTTCAGACCTACCACATTCACTAGCTGATCCTCCCACCAGCTGGAAGAACTGCTGGGCAATTTTCATATGATCCCTCTGAAAAACAAAACAAAGCTGATATATCCTTCATGTTCACATGGATGGAGCTGGAGAATGTTCTTCTGAGCAAAGTATCACGAGAATGGAGGAAAAAGTACCCAATATACACACCCCTATTATGAAACTAATTTAAACCTTTTTATATGAAAGCTATAACCAAATAGCCTAAGAATATGGGGAGGGGGG